GGGATTTCTGAGCTCACATTCCATCCATTCCTCGCATCTGTGGGAGACAATGGATGGGAAGGCATGCAACTGAGCAAGGAGCTATGAAGCAAGACAGAAAGCAAAGCATAAGTAGAGGCCTCTGACTCAGAAATCAGAACTGGCAGACGGCATTCCTTCCCAGAGTCTTTATGAAGCAATTACTGTGGTGGGATTTTACAAGCCCTGACAGGATGAGACAATTCTTCAGAGAGAAGAGAAGAAGAAGAATGTGCAAGATGGGTATAGAGAGAGAGCACTTGAGGTGAACAAGCAAACAAATTAACTAAAAATGCACCACAATTGTCCATAGGATCTTTTCCATCATATAATCTCAAAGCTGTTGATGAAAATGATTTTTTTAGCAAAATAGCTGCATATGTAGAAAAAGAGGTGAAATTGATTTATACGTAATTAGTCTATTTATCTCTTCACTTAATATTCTTCAAATTACTAAAAGAGTCTTGGGTTACAGATTGGAGGATATTTTTAATATTAAAATGCCAGGTATTGAACTTGGAAACTTTGACATGCATTTTTTCTTATCATTTACCCAGCAATGCATATATCCCTGTTGCAGAGAAAAAAAAAACACATATAGCTAATGTTAAATGGCCTATATCTTCAACAGGTGCACTTTCATAAAGTCAGTACTAAAAATTCATCATCTGCCCAATTCTTTTATCTTTCCCCTCATCAATTCATAACATTTAAATTGTCAAAAAATTATAGAGGTTGCTATGAAGTATTTTCAAAGGAAAAGAAAATTCCACTGAAATTATAGGAAGTCTGGGGGCTTTGCATTTCCTTCATGTATGAGCAAGCGGGCAAGCAGTGAGTCTTTTTTAAAGTGCAGATGGCAATAACAATTGTATGATTTAAGTTCCATCTATTTTTTAAACATGGGGCATTTCTTTCATTGAAGGTATTGGCTACCTTCTTGTGGGTCCCCTCAGAGGATGTGTGACTGTGCACTGTCTAATCAACCCTGTGATGGTCTTCAGAATCCATCCTACAAGTCAAGATGTAACTCCTGTTCTCAAACTTTTTCAACCCAGGAAGTGATGATAAGCAAGGAAACTGTAGAAATATATAACAAGTTATAGCACTCTTCACCCTTTTCACACTCTCTTATACTTTATTGTATAGCACAACAATAAAATGGAGGGTAACAATGGGAATAGGAGCAAGCACAATGCCATGGAGTCACAGGTGAACATGGAAAGATTGGGAGTGGTGAGATGGAGAACAATGCGACAGAAAGTATTTTGGACCGTATAGGTCTATGTAGCCCTAACTAGAAAGCAGGTATCAGTGTGTTGGAGTGTCTGGCAGTTATTGGGTTAAATGCTGCACACAACAGAGGGAAAGAAAGTACTTCACTGCACGCATCACTAACTATGCAGAGTAAATCTGTTAGTTAAAGTGCAAGTTACTTAAAGTTATCCCAAGCTACCAACACCCCCTAGAGGGCACAGAGTGAACTTACCAAAAGCACTCACTCACTCACTCAAGCTGAACACCAAGCTGTTCCAGTTTGAGGGAACTTAGGCAGAAGAAAGCGAAGCCAATTCTCTTGCTTATCATCACAGCTGATGACCCAGGGTTGCAGCCTGCAACTCAATGGTCTCCAGGTGAGAGTTTATACCTCTACATTCTCTCAGTGGCCACTAGCAGTAACATGGTAATAGGAAGAATTTGGCTGGCCTTTCTTCAGACGCCCCCTAGTGGTTAAAGGAGGCACTACATGCAAGCCTTTAACCGCACCCAGAGAAGGCCCTCTAGTGGCCAAAGGGTGAACCTTGAAGCCAGAGCACTCTGGTAGCTGACTCGCAGCAAGTGACCCCTAGTGGTGAAGGGGTGAACTGCACTGAAGTACCCACAAATGCAGGAGAACGCACCCAGTGGCATCTCCACCCACAGACAGCACCTCTGAAGCTGATCTACAAGTAGTGATCCCTAGTGGTCAAAGAGAGAAGTTCTTCAAATTAGCTTCAAAATAGCTGAGAAGAACACTGAACCTACCCTAGCCATAGCAGAGCGTCCTACTGGTCTAGCAAAAGGGGTTCAACCAACCAGCATTTCTCCGGCCAAGGAGAAATGCTGCCAACAAGGAACCTTGACCTGCACACAGAGGCTGAAGCTCAAGCCTCAACACAGCCAAAAACGTCTTAGGGTTACTATGATCTTATACAACGCAGAGAGCTCACAGAAGCCATGCATTCAATCTGATGAAGAAATGGAACACCCTCTACCAGCACCATGAAAGAAGCTGGGAGAGATTATACAAATTCTACCATGAACAGAAGGAGGAACTCTCCCCAGAACGTGCACATGCAGTGGAAGGAGATAAGGAAGACGCCTATGTGCAATGGATGGACTCTGAACAGCAACTCAAGGACATTCAAGAACAATTAAGAGACTCAAGAGTCGATAGCGAGATGCAAAGTCTCAAGGTACTAAACAAGGAATGTAAGAAGTTTCTAGAGAGCTCACAGGGTTCCCCACAGCCCAAGCCTCACCAGAGAAGCAGACCGGTCGACACAGCCAAGTCCGAAGTCTCCCGCTATTCACATGCACCGTCCCACCGGTCGCATACAGCTCCATCCCACGTGTCTGGAACAGCCTCATCTTTCCGCCACATATCCAAGGCACATTCCAGCGTGTCCCAACAACCGCATGTTACAGGTGCCTCCCGCCTTTCGAAAGCATCTTCCCATCATAGCCGAGCATCCCGAATCTCACAAGCAGAGCAAATGATCATCGATGCTAAAGCTGCCGAAGCTGTCTTTCGCGTGGCACAGGAGGAGCGGCAGAAAAAGAAGGTATTGACAGCCATAGAACTTGAAGAAGCCAAAATGAAGGCCAAAAGAAAAGACGCCCAAGATGAGCTTGAATTCATACGAAGCCAGCAAGATATGGCAGATAAAATGGTTAGAGCGGAAGTCCTTCAGAAAATACTCCAGTGCACCACTTTCTTGCCAAATAGGGAGCAACTGGAAAAGGAAGAGCGTCGTAGCCATGCACAGGCCTACATGGACAACCAAAGCACATTCCAGAATGCACAGGTGAGAGCACCACAGCCAGCCACAAGCCCCCCAAGACCGAGTAGGCGAACAGAGGAATCTCAATGACCAGATGCAGCGGTCAGCCACAGAGTTGATGTCGTGATACCTAGGGCACGAGATCTCCCCACCGTTGCCACCCCATTGAACCCTATAAAACCACACCTACAACACTGCACGCTTGTGACAACCAAACCTGTTTTGATGGCAACAGTGTTCCAAACGCGCCTAGAACAACACTGCACGCTAGTGACAACCAAACCTGTTTTGGTGGCAACAGTGTTCCAACTGCACCTAGAACAACACTGCACGCTTGTGACAACCAAACCTGTTTTGGTAGCAACAGTGTTCCAACCACACCTAGAACACTGCATGCTTGTAACAACCAAACCTGTTTTGGTAGCAACAGTGTTCCAACCACACCTAGAACACTGCATGCTTGTAACAACCAAACTTGTTTTGGAAGCAACAGTGTTCCAGACAAGCAAGAATTACAACAACTTAGCTTTGTCCATGAAGGACAAACAAGACAAACAATGCTTCTGAGACTGGGAGTCATGGAGCTTACTCCCAAGAAGTATCCAAAGCATGCAAGTGCAGCATACGTATGTCTCCAGCTCACCTGCCCCAGTGCAGAAGAAAGAATTGTATGCTTCCTTAGATGAGTCTACGAAGGTGACTGCAGCCTTAAGATACGTCTCACTCTACAGCGGGGAGAGCCACACTTACGTTATCTTGTTTGCGACCGTAAGATGCATCAGAGTCTACAGCTGGGAGAGCTGCAGTCTCGGTGTCTTCTTAGGGAAAGCGAGACTAACAATACAAGAAGCCCACACCGTACCAAGGTTAGAGCTATGTGGCACCACTTTGGCTGTAAAGCTGACCAACTTGACAGCAAAGACGTTGTGCCTTGAACTACAGTCCACCACCTTCTACGCAGACAGCAAGGTGATGTCAAGCTACATCTGCAAACAAAGCAGACACTTCTACGTCCATGTAAGCAACAGAGAGAAAAGGATTGAAACATCTTTAAGCCCTGAACAATGGCAACATGTGCCAACAAATAAGAACTTTGTTAACCAAGTGAAGTGGCCCAACCTTGCCACACAGATAACAGAATTGATCTGGCTAGAAAGTCTTCAGTTCTTGGCCTGTCCAAATAGACAGATGCCATAGAGACCAAAACGTTATGCACTTCCAGCTTCAGATCAAAGTGCCAACCTTCAATCTCAGACACCCAGTAAACATCAACCAATCCGCTTCAAAACCCTGTCTAAGCGGAGACACCTGAAATTAGGCATACTTTTGATTGTCTTGATCACTTGTCTCAGCATCCCAAGAATTAGCCCTGTAGGAGCCTGCAAAGACTTACTGACTTTCATGGACTCCATGTCATTAAATACACCCATACCCACACATGAAGTCCTCACCCTGATGACAACAGTAGCAGCCCTCTTCAATACTCCACCGGTGGATCTAGAACCTTCGGTTCTTGAGTATCCTGAGTCTTCTGCTCAAGCTGTTGTTCCTGATTTATCACTTCCAGCTGCTGTTCCTGACCCTTCAGTTCCAGCTGTTGTTCCTGATTCTTCAGCTCCGGCTGTTCCTGAGTTTCCAGATGTTCCTGATCCTGAGTTTCCAGCTCCAGCTGTTCCTGAGTTTCCTGATGTTCCTGATCTTGATTTTTGAGCACCAGCTGTTCGTGTGTTTCCAGATCCATCTGTTCATGTTTTTCCAGGTTCTTCAGTTCCTGAGTATCCTGTGAATCCAGTTCCCTTCGTTCCTGAGAAACTTTCAGTTCCAGTTTTTCTGTTCCAGATTTGGTTCCAGTTTCCTTCACAGGAAGAAGACCTTGTCTCACTGGGAGACAAGATGGCATACCAGAACTACTGGCCCATGGGACTTGCGCACCGGGCCCACCCACTTGATGAACTAGTTTGTCCAGCTGAGGTCCAGATCGTGAAGCCACGTGAGTCAGGTTGTGACTCAAAGACACTTGTACCAGGCTGATCATCGATTTGTCCCCGTTGCTGATGAAGAACAAACCAGAAGATCAAACCTCAAATTATGTATTGTCTTATGCATTGTTTGATGTAACACTTGCTTTTTTGCATAATTGTGCATGTTTTATATTTACCAATAGTTATGCATGCTTGATACCAAGTTTTCACCTATTTAGTCACAAGTTAGTTAACAATGAGGCTTGCATGCCTTGATGCTATGTTTTTATATTTTAGTAGTGGAAATATAAATTTCCAAGTGGGGAGTATTCTGGACCGTATAGGTCTATGTAGCCTTAACCAGAGAGCAGATATCAGTGTGTTGGAGTGTCTGGCAGTTATTGGGTTAAATGCTACGTATGTTGATGGGTCAGTGGGAGGAGTATCAAAGGTCATTGAGAGACTTCCTGGACACAAGCCAGATGGGATCCTTTGTTCACCAGCCGCATGGTTCCTAGCCACACGGTTAGGAGATCCTTACCAACATGTGACGCCCAGGAAGAGAAGAGGGGAAAATCCAATATCAATTTACCTGAGGAATAAACCAACATTGCAAACATGTACTTCTGGATGCATCTCCTCGTGACTGTAAGTTATTGTCTAGAATTCCCAGAATAAAGCTATATTTCTGTTTATTCTTCTGAGTTATCTATCTGTTTGGATTGTACAGAAATCAGCCTGTTCAGTTTGGAACAGAATAGAAAGTGTTGCAAAATTCATGGGAACAGACAGTCTGGGAGTTAGGATGATGAGTGCTAGAGAGTGCTAGAAGAAGCAGAAGAGAAAGTCAGAAAGGATTTGTATGTTTTCATTGGTATATTGTTTTTTTTTCTCAGTGTCAAAGACAAGCAATCTTGAAAACTGGGAATGGAAATGCAAGACCTTGCATGCTGTGGGTGTAGAATGAGTGATTTCTGTTAGAAATTTAAGGGTAAAAATCCGAGATGAGGGTGATTTTGAGTGAGTGACAGGATTATAGGCACAATGGAATGGTTTTATGTAATAGGATTTTTCTATCCATTTGCAATAAGATTGATTATGTTAGCAATTTGCTTTTCTGAGAATGCAACCATTTTGTCAGGATAGCTTATTACATTACATACTGCTCAAAGTCAAAACAGGATATGAATGCAGTTATAGTTCCACAGATTCATGGAATACACATTGTAGCTTATATTGGAGGTAATATGCAATTATCAAGATCAGTAGTTGTTGTCTTCCATCATTTTAAAAATCATTCAAGTTGGGGCCCATCAATGGAGCATGGGCACATTTTATAGTTTGGCTTTGTCTTGTACAAAGAAAACTTTATTTTGCTTGCACTGATTCCTCTCTTTTAATTTAAAAGTACTCTGGGCAAGAGTTTACACTGATACATTGTTGAAATATATCAAAATGGCCATTGGCTTTTAATACAAATGTTACCAATCAATTCTGTATGTTTTATGAAAATTCCCACAGATGTATCTGCTCCTGACAGAAAAAAACGGAAAGGGAACTGATGGATACAGGACAATGCTAACATTTGAGCTGGATTTGTTTATGAAGCAAGCAACTTCGGCAGCTGTTGTAAGCAGCAATCTCAAGGTTTTCTTGACACTGAGTAATGCTGCAAATCTTAAGCATAAACACATCTAAATTTCAAGTAGACATTTTTATCTTCTCTTGCTTTGTGCAGAAGCATAAAAATGCTTCATGAAATGTGAACAGATGGACCACAGGCAGTTTAAAGTCAACCTGTTCTGGCCATGGAGCTTGGGCAGGAGCGATAGACATCATACAGAAAGGCTTGCACTGCCAACTCTTATTTTTCCCATTATTTAAAACAGCAGCTCTTCAGACACTCCATTTATGGAAGAACGTTTCTATCTGATTAGATGCTACATATAAAGCTAACTCTTAGCAGCCTCCTCTCAGGAATACAACTTTTCCTGGGCATCACAATATAAAAACAATAAAAATATAGAAATAAACTGGTACTAAATATGGCCAATATTATATCAGTCTTATTAATGTAAAATGCAAGAAATAATACAAAGTCTGGGGTTTAAATTTTTTTATTTACCTATTAGTCACTAGAAGCTGAGCGGGACTCAAAGAAGATTTAACTTAAAAAACATCCAAAGGCAGGGCTACATACCTTCATAAGGGATGGCCATACATCACCACAAATGAAATCTGATCAGAACATTGGGGGAAATATTTCAAGCAAGAAAAATGTCCTACATTTTGCATATATAAAGGAATACAAGATGTCTTATTCATTTTAAAAACTGTATTCTAAGGTAATACAGAAAATATAGTTCTCCTGCTATAGGGATGAACTATGTATTAAGGAGCATAATTAAAATGATTTCCATTGAGCTTAAATCATGTTGGCTAAAATGACAGTAAATATAGAGCATATGATTGCCAAAGAAATAATGTCAAGGACAAATATTTGCAGATATTAGAGTAAGCTGGTTATGAAATGAAATATGACTATATAAAAATACTTTGAAACCTGATTAATAACTTCCTCTCATGTTCATTTGGCAAAAATAAGATGATGATGATGATGATGATGATGATGATAATGATGATGATAATAATAATAATAATAATAATAATGATGATGATGTTGGAAGGGACCTTGGAGGTCATCTAGTCCAACCCCCTGCTCAGGCAGGAAACCCTATACCATTTTGGACAAATGGCTGTCCAGTTTCTTCTTAAAAACTTCCAGTGTTGGAGCATTCATCGCTTCTGGAGGCAAGTTGTTCCACTGGTTAATTGTTCTAACTGTCAGGAAGTTTCTCCTTAGTTCTAGGTTGCTTCTCTCCTTGATTAGTTTCCATCCATTGCTTCTTGTCCTGCCTTCAGGTGCTTTGGAGAATAGCTTGACTCCCTCTTCTTTGTGGCAGCCCCTGAGATATTGGAACACTGCTATCATGTTCCCCCCTTGTCCTTCTCTTCATTAAAGACATACTTTAATGAACTAGACATACCCAATTTCAGCAGCCGTTCCTTATATGCTTCCCAGCAGCTCTGGGCAGTTTAAACACAATGGAAATCCATTCAGGGCCTCAGCTACTTTTCTGCAGCCTCCCAAAAGTTAGAGTTTGTAGCACTTCCCAACAGCTCTGGGCAGTTGTAAAAGATGGTTAAAAAATTAACCATACAATGTTGCATGTCTAACATACAGTTTCCTTCATAGTACAGAAATATAAAAATAAGGCATGATTTTGAACCATATTTAGCCAAGTGGATGCACTGTACCTCCTGGAGAGCTTTTACCACCTTCTATTTTCAACCAATTGAGGTATTTAATGGCTAACATGCAAAAGTTCTTGTTAAAAAACAGCCACACATATTTATTGCTTTCACTCCCTTATCCATTAGAGTGCATTCAGCATCTACTGAAAAGCGCTCTTTATCTGCCATTTAAACTGATTCCCAGGGCATCTGTAGGGAATTGTAAAAAAAAGTTCAGAAGGTATATATGACATTAAAAAAAAATAGATTGAGCTTCAGATGCACCATGATAGTTGACTCTTTTGACTATACCCTGCAGACATTTCTGCTGGTTTCTATTAATAAGACTTTTTGTTTAATTGTTTGGATGAGATATCTAAGATAGAAAGTTGCCTTATGTTCTACATACCCTGTAGCAATGCAGCTAAACGATATAGGACTTCAATCATAATCTCTTAAATTAACAATTATTATAACCAAGATCATTATAATCCACTACATTAACAATTAAGTTTGGTAGAAGAAGTGGAGTTTTACTTATTCAGCATATACTGGGAGAGTGGAAGTACTTTTTAGGGGAAAGGTGTCTCAGAACCCGGAACAAAACAACAAAATGTCCTCTTGTCATATCATATGGACTTTCTGGCAATGAAGAATCCTTCAAAAGAGCTTTCCTGCTGATCTAAATAACCAATTAGATCCACAGTAGGAATGATGTCCTTCAGACTGGCAGGGCCTAAGTCATGTAGGTCTTTAAAGGTTCACACATGCCCACACCTGTCATTGTGCTTAGTAAACAGTTGGAAACTAGTGCAGATCTTTAATATAATCAGATTAATGACTCAGTCACTGCATGTTATACCAATAGTATTTTTTCAAGGGCAGTTCTACACAAAATGCCTTGAGGTAATAAAGAGAGGATGTAATCAAAGCATAGGAATTTGTGGCTAAATTTGTAATTCAAAACATATTAGTTCTAGAAAAGGAATTGTGTCTCTTGGAAAAGAAGGTAAGGTCTTTTGTTAGTCCATTTTTACACCTCCAAACATCGATCAAACCTAAAGATCTGTCCAGAGACTAAATTTGATCAGCTCAGGAAGATTCATTGTTGAATCCTTAATTTGTAGCCATACAAATATATTCCTGAGCTCAGCCATCAGAAAGGCCCCTCAGACAGCTCATCTCTTTATAAGAAGTGCAACCACCCAGAGGATGCTTCACTTCAACACCCACTCTAACTTTCTCTTTACCAGCAGCCCCTTGGTTTTGTCTGCATTCTATCCTCCCTCATCCAACCTGTTATGGCGCTTCAATGTGTTCAAGGATCTTGATTGCTTCTTTAGAGTTAGATGGGTGGGAAAAGTAGAACCAAATGCTATTACTACACTGAAGCAATGTATTCCAAAGCATTAAATCATGTCATCTAAAGAATCACATAGATATTAAACAACAAAGGGAACAGGATAGAACTCTGTGGGACACCAAAGTTAATGACTTTCCCCAGCACCACATTCTGGATGAGTCCCAACAAAAAAGACTGCAAAATATTGCTCAAAAGCCCAATCCTGCTCCCAAAAAACTATGGACAAAAATATCAAAGGCAACTGAGAAATCCATGCGAACTAGCAGGGTTGCATTCCTCCTCCTGGTTTACTGTGTAAGATAACTTTCAAAGTGATTAAAACAATATCAGTATTACCATATCATGAATGACATCCTGATTAAAATACTGTAGGTGCAGATAATCCATTTCATCCTGGCACATTTGGAGTTCCAAATTATTTTTCCAGGTCTGGGTCCAAAGTTACTAACGGTTGCCAAACCTATTATAAAACCAACTGCTATCATGTTTAGAGATTTTAACTTTTTTTTTTTTAAGGAGGATCTTCCCAAATTACACAACCTGGTAAATTCTCTATTCACTTTATGAGGAATATACTTGGAATATTTTTTTCAGACTATAATTCAAACTAAAAAAATAAAACAAAGTTCTTGGATCTACCGTGTTTCCCCGAAAATAAGATCCAGCTGGAAAATAAACCCTAGCATGATTTTTCAGGACGCTTATAATATAAGCCCCATCGCAAAAATAAGCCCCAGGTAAGATCGTCAGCCAGACAGACACATTTAGTACTGTATTTCCCCGAATATAAGTCCTAACTAGAAAATAAGCCCTAATATGTCTTTTGGAGCAAAAATTAATATAAGACCCGGCCTTATTTTTGGGGAAACGTGGTATTCCAATCGTGTTTGCATCTTGACAATTCCATATATGAAGTACTGCACGGCAACTTAGATTATCTGCATTTCTTTATAATCAGAAAGAGAATTATTATTCCATATACAAACCAAAC